CGTCTTGTAGCAGGTTGGTCATTGGGGCGAAAGCGAAATCTGAATGTATCTGATTCAATGTGCCAGTGTATGCCTAGAGCTCGTTCAAGTTTAGAGTCATTAAAGGTTAAGTCACAGTCCTGCTTTGGTGTGGCACGTTCAGATGGAGGAATGCTTTCTAACACTGTTTGATTGTTACTCACAAACTTGTGCAGTCTGAGGCCACCTGAGGCGCATAGTACCTGAGCCTCCGTTGCCAGCTGAATGGCTTCCTTGATGCTTGCAGTGCATGTTACTCCGTCATCCACATAGAAATCCTTCAGGATGAACTGTGACGCAAGAGGAAACAAAGTTTCGTTCTCTTTAGCAAGATGCTTTAAGCCATAATTGGCACAACCTGGTGAGGACATGGCACCAAAAAGGTGCACTTTCATACGAAATTCCTGTGGCTCAGTGTTCAAGTTGCCGTTTTTCCACCAGAGAAATCGTAAATAGTCTCTGTCACTTTTGTACACATGAAACTGGTGGAACATTTTCTCAATGTCACATAGTAATGCAACATGATGTCTTCTGAATCTGAATAGAACACCGTTTAGATTGTTAAGCAAGTCCGGACCTGACAGCAAATGATCATTTAGACTGCTTCCTTTGTACTTGGCTGAAGCGTCGAAGACAACCCTAAGCTTGTCTGGTTTTTGAGGGTGATAAATTCCATGGTGGAGAATATACCACCTTTCTCCTTCTTTGGCCTCACTGTGCGCTTCCTCTGCGTCACCTTTTTCTATGACATCACTCATGAATTTCACGTAGTGTTCTTTGTACTTTGGGTCCTTTGACAGTTTAATTTTCAGATTTTCAAGTTGAACAGTGGCCATGTGTTTGTTGTCAGGTAAGTGTGGTCTCTCTTTAAATGGGAGAGGCATTTCATAGTGTCCTTCTTTGTTTTTGTAGATGCCTTCCTTGAGGGTGTTTAGAAAGAGAATATCATCCTGTGACACCGACCTGTCTTCCTTATTATCATCCTTGAAGTCAGACTCGAGAATCTTGAGAGCGTCTGCAGGAGTCACCAGGGGGAGCTCTTTGATCGTGACTCTGTGACATACTGTGGAGCTGCTTATAGTGTCACTGTGCGATATGGTGGGGCCGACAATACTCCAACCCAAAGCTGTGCGAACAGCATAAGGCTCATCTTCTCCTAGAATAACCTGCTTTGGAGCTAATGCCTTGGAACAATTATAGCCAATTAACAGGCCTACTTCACATTCTAACTGTGGTGGAATCTCACTTTCTATAACCTTGAGATGATTTCACTGTCTTGCCGTTTCACAGGTAGGAATGTGTGTGTGGTTCACTGGGATACTTTCTTCAGTGTAAGCAGGAGGGAGTTCAGTTACTTCAGAGGAGTTGTAGCCTCTTACCTTGAGACCTGAGACACGTTTACTTGGCATAATAGCATCTTTACCAAGCATCGTGGTGAGCCTTAATCTTACTGGGGTGGTCTTAGCCTTGAGACTGTCAGAAACATCTTGATCAATGAACACTGTGTCACTTTGGGTGTCTAAAAGTGCGTAGACGAGCTGTTCTGTGTCTGGTTGGTGCTCTGATGAAAGCCAAACTGGTACGATCATTGAAGTACTCACACATTGTTCATTAGTTTCTGTGTTGAGAGACAGGGTAGTTGAAGCCTGCTCTGTGTTGCTTGGATTTGGACTTGTAAGTGGTTTGTCTTTGTCCTTGTCATAGTTAAAGTCATGCAGACATGTAGGGTGTTTTTTCTTACACATTTCACAAATGAGTCTGTGACGACAGTCTTTTGCGCTGTGTCCAGGTTTCAGACAGCCATAACACAATTTCTTCTCCTTTATATATTTCCTTCTTTCATCCAGTGATATGCCTTTGAACTGTGGGCAACAGTGAAGCTTGTGCCCTTCCTCATAACAAAGCATGCATGACAGTTTTATGTTTGGTGTTTTTTGTTTTGAACTATCAGCTTCCGTTGCTGCTTGTGTGTGCAGAACATTACATGTTGGCCTTTTCTCTCTCTGTGTAGTTTTAAGTGAAGCTGACACTATGTTACCGTTAGGCATTGGAGCTGAAACTTTGGGTATCTGCAGATGTGATCTGCTTATGTCTGCAGAATAAACACTGTCCTCATTTTTTATTTCTTCATCGTAAGTCTTTAGTCTAGCTCTAGCAGCCTTTAGTTCCTTTTCTGCTTTTAGTCTCTCTAGTTCACGTTTCTGAAACTCAAGCTCCTTTCTTTGCCTTTCCTCTAACATTTGAATCCTTTCCTTTTGTTTCTCTTCTTCTATTAACACTTCATACTCTGCCTCCTTAGCGGCCAATTCTGCAGCAGCTTCTGCTCTCTTTGCTGCTACAGCGGATTTGACAGAAGAATGTGTTTTGCTGACCGAGGATTGTCTACCTGAGAAAGTGACAGAAGAACCATAGATGGAATGAGCATAGTCCTTATCACGAAGCACTCTGAGACTTCTCTTTACTTTGTCATAATCATAATCATCAATGCCTGAGAGTCTTTCATGTGCCACTTTAATAATGTCTATTGTGACAGCTTCACAAGCATCTATAAGTCGCCTGGTGCCTGCAGAAGGGTCAATGTGATCCCTGATTTCGGTGTAAAACTTTATGACACTGTCTTTCTTTCTCTATACTGTCCATAAGTTGTGAGATTTGAGTGTCTGGTATGTCTCCTTTAAGTTGCTCACGTGCTAAACGTACTTGTTTTTTCCATTGTTCATAAAGATGAGAAAGGCGTTTTTCCTTTTTGTATGCCTCCTCCTCCTGATATATCTGCATCCTTTCTGTGGGTTTCCTTTGACGAGGAGAGCGGTGAGGATTCTCTTCCTCAGTGGCCTTGCAAGCTTCCGTGTACTCTTGACTCTCAGATGCAACTTCCATGTTGTGGATGGGGCGCTGCTGTAGACCTTTGGATGCCAGGCGGAACCGTGGCGATAGGACTGTGTTGGAGTGGCGCTCTCCGGGACCTCGTGGATGAACCTTCTGCTGTGCCTTCAGGGCAAGCTCTTACTGTAGCATCCCGGTTGAAATGATGGTCTCATAGACTGATGGTTCACAACTTTTATTTTTGGGCCTTGTTTGTGAACACACCGTAAGAGCTACAAAAAAGGGAAATAAAAAACAATTAGCTCTTACAGTGTACCTTTTACTCTATTTAACCATTTATGACAATCTGACTATTAATGTTTACCAACAACAAATCTTATAAAACCTGAACCTTGCTATTAATCTATATTGAACAAAAAAATACACATTCAAATTGTCAAACTGCGCATAACATTGCTTAGGCAAAGCACATTGGCGCCATCTAATGGATTAAATTATAACACAGAATTGTAATGGCTCAACATATTCCTTACTAACCTTGTTCCCACATCAACCAGATGCTAAGCTGGGGTAGACCATATATTAAGTTAAAATACAGTTTCAGTAACTCTTAGATTAAATAAACAAAATTTTCCGTTGTGCTCATAGTCATTTAGCCGCACAGACTGTTAGCCGGGAGGTAAAAATCCGCTCTCACGTGGCCGCTTCTGGTTGTACAGCGACCTTTCAAAATAAAAGCATGGAACAAACATATTAGAATACTTATAAACAAAAGTAGCAGAAGTACAGAAAATACATGAGATCATTTACACTTGGTAATAAATTTTATTTATTGCTTTGCTTGTATTTGGTTCAGCAATGGTTTATTCAAATGCATTTTTGTTAACAAGTCCCTGCTGTAAACCAGACTACATTAGACTGGTCCTATGTTAACAAGTCTGTTTTATTTAGGCCTAGTGTTTTTGGTTGTATTACAGTTCCTGTATTAAATGTTATTTAGAAGTAAGGTTTATTGATCTTTGAAAGAGTGTGTTTGCATTTTTATTCCATGGTCATTATATTAGTTGAAATTGGTCTTAAAATGTCAATATTATAGTTTATCGCAATAAATTCTTGGTCAATTAATCGTCCAGCAAAATCTGTTATCATTACAGGCCTAGTGCCTTTATAGTGGAGCTGTTTACAGACCAGAAAAGTGCCCAATTGTTCACTTTTATGGTACAAGCATGAAACTTTGCCAGATTATTAACATCCCTAGGACCAACATTTCTGGATATGGAACCAAGCCCAAGTCGACCCTGGAGCCGAGTACCGCGCATGATCTTTGAAAGAGTGTGTTTGCATTTTTATTCCATGGTCATTATATTAGTTGAAATTGGTCTGAAAATGTCAATATTATCGTTTATTGCAATAAATTCTTGGTCAGTTAATTGTCCAGCAAGTTATCGTTACAGGCCTAATCAGAATAATAAATAGTTGTTTTTTTTTAAATAGTAAAAAGATTAAATCAGAACAAAATCCATCATAATACAGCAGTGACACAGAGTTTGTACCTGCTCTTGACTACCTACAGAAGATGACCTGACCGCCTTCAAATACTTGGGGAACTTTTCAACAGGCAGGGGATTCAGATTGGGTGGCAGAAGGCCATTTAAGGTATTACAATACAATGAGTGAAAAAAAAAAAAAAAAAAAACTGTCCTAGGAATGGAGAAGTAGGAATGACTGTGATGATGTGTATGTGGAGGGAAAGCAAATATTTGGCTTTGATATGCGTAAAGATTTCAAATTCAAATTTTTATGAAAAGCTAAACAATTCTTCCTTTATTTCCATCATTCACACTGATTAGCTAAAGTAGAGAATAGGTCACCTCATTTTAAGATGCATTCTGTAACTTTCTTTGGTGGAGGGCCCACCAGGGCACTTGAAGTGTTATTACTCAATAAGACATTACAAAACATGCTTTCTTACCGTTTCAGTAGCAAAGAAAAAGCATTACCATGGAGAAAAGCAAATCGTGGATCCTCTTTTAGAAAAGTTGCATTGTGCACCTTTTAGATATGTCCTGCTCTGAAGGTTTTCTGATGGCTGGTCCCACTGTTAGTCTGCTTGGAATATAGAGTGTGGCTGGGGGTTAATCTTTGTCTGCTCTCAGGGTGATGCAGAGTTTGCACGCATCATGGGGATTGTGGACCCTAACAACAGTGGAGCGGTCACCTTCCAGGCCTTCATTGACTTCATGTCCAGAGAGACCACAGACACAGACACTGCTGACCAGGTCATTGCCTCTTTCAGGATCCTGGCTGGAGACAAGGTGAGCACCACCCTGGTTCTGAGTAAGACCCTATCAATATGGCCAGTTTTAAACATGATTAGCCAATGGAATTGTTTGTTTATTTATTTGATTGGGACAGAGCATGTTAATGAACAAACATGACAACATGAATGTAAACACACCGGATTGTAGCCTAAGGCTAATTTTCATCCGTTGTTTAGGAAATTATTTAATAAAGGGGTGTCCAAACTTTTTCATCAAAGGCCACATATACAGTACAGTCTATATTCAGTTATTAGAATATCATGAAAAAGTTCAATATTTTTGTCACTCATTTCGGAAAATCAAATCCATATATTACATAGGCTCATTACACATAGAGTGATGCTTTCTAGCCTTTATTTCTTGACTTTTTAAATTAATATGGCTTATAGATGATGATAACCTAAAATTCACTATTTTGAATATTGTTATAATATTGTGAGAATATTGTGAAAAAGTTCAATATTGGAAAGTCATGGTGTCACTACTGCTGCTGACTGGAGATGTCCAGAAGACAGTCACTGGCACCTGCTGGCTGTTCACAGTGCACTGCATCCAAGCATATTCATAGAAACGTCAGTGGAAGAAAAAAATGTGGTAGTAAAATGTGCTCCAGAAAAAGGGATGACTGTAGCCTTGATTCTCAAGCAAAATCCACTCAAGAATTTGTGGGACCTTCATAAGGAGCAGATTTAGTCTGGCATCAAGACCCACTATGCACAGATGAACCCTATATGGGACATGAGACGATGTCAGAAGAGTCTTCTATGGAGAAAAAAACTGGACTGTTGCTCAATGGTTCAAAGTCCTCTTTTCAGATGGAAGTACATTTTTACATACTCGGAGGCGGATTCGTCCATCACCCTGGCTGAAGTCACTGAGGTTGTTGGCAAGCTCCTTGGTGGAAAGGCTCCAGGGGTCGATGAGATCAGTCTCTATCTTAAGTCTCTGGATGTTGCAGGGCTGTCTTGCCTGACTCGCCTCTTCAGCATTGCGTGGCAGTTGGGGACAGTACCTCTGGACTGGCGGACCGGAGGGTGTTTTCCAACTACAGGCGAATCACACTCCTCAGCCTCCCCGATAAGGTCTATGCCAGGGTACTGGAGAGTAGATTATTGCCGATAGTTGAACCTCAGATCCAGGAAGAGCAGTGTGGTTTTCGTCCTGGCCGTGGAACACTGGACCAGCTCTATCCTCTCCATCGGGTGCTCGAGGGTTTATGGGAGTTTGCCCAACCAGTCCACATGTGTTTTGTGGATCTGGAGAAGGCATTCGACCATGTCCCTTGTGGTGTCCTGTGGGGGGTGCTCTGGGAGTATGGGGTCTGGGACCCTTTGCTAAGGGCTGTCCAGTCCCTGTGTGACCGGAGCAGGAGCTGTGTTCGCATTGCCGGTAGTAAGTCAAACCTGTTCCCTGTGCATGTTGAACTCTGCCAGGGCTGCCCCTTGTCACCGGTTCTGTTCATTGTATTTATGGACAGAATTTCTAGGCGCAGTCAGGGGCCGGAGGGGGTCCGGTTTGGGGACCACAGGATCTCATCTCTGCTGTTCGCAGATGATGTTGTCTTGTTGGCTCCATCGAACCAGGACCTGCAACGTGCACTGGGGCGGTTTGCAGCCGAGTGTGAAGCTGCTGGGATGAAGATCAGCTCTTCTAAATCCGAGGCCATGGTTCTCGACCGGAAAAAGGTGGCCTGCCCTCTCCGGGTGGGTGGAGAGTCCTTGCCTCAAGTGGAGGAGTTCAAGTATCTCGGGGTCTTGTTCATGAGTGAGGGGAGGGAGATTGACAGGTGGATCGGTGCAGCTTCTGCAGTGATGCGGTCGCTTGTATCGGACCGTTGTGGTGGTGGGAGCTGAGCCGAAAGGCGAAGCTCTTGATTTACCACTCAGTCTTCTTTCCTACTCTCACCTATGGTCATGAGCTCTGGGTAATGACTGAAAGGACGAGATCACGGATACAAGCGCTCGAAATGAGTTTCCTTCGCAGGGTGACTGGGCGCTCCCTTAGAGATAGGGTGAGGAGCTCAGTCACACGGGAGGAGCTTGAAGTAGAGCCACTGCTCCTCCACGTCGAGAGTAGCCAGTTGAGGTGGCTCGGGCATCTGTTCCAGATGCCTCCTCCCTCAGGAGGTGTTCTGGGCATGTCCCACCGGAAGGAGGCCCCAGGGAAGACCCAGGACACACTGGAGGGACTTTGTCTCTCGGCTGGCCTGGGAACGCCTTGGGGTCCCCCCGGAGGAGCTGGAGAACGTGTCTGGGGTGAAGGAAGTCTGGGAGTCCCTGCTCAGACTGCTGCCCCCACAACCCAACCCCGGATAAGCAGAAGAAAATGAATGGATGGATAATGCTTCCTTTTGCTCACAAGCTTTATGGAGATGCTGATTTCATTTTCGAGCATGACTTAGCACCTGCCCACACAGCCAAAGGTACCAGAAGCTGTTTCAATGACCATTGTGTTACTGTGCTTGATTGGCCTGTAAACTCACCTAACCTGAATCCCAGAGAGAATCTCTGTGAATCCCAATGCACACCTGAAGGCTGCTATCAAAGCAGTCTGTGCAGTAATTCATGTCAAACGAGGCCCTACCAAGTACATAGAAACGAACATACTTTTTAGAAACCTGCAATTTCTGTTCAAATTATCATCTTCAGCTGATGTAATGCAGTATTCTAATTTTCAGAGACGTACTGAATATTGGGTTTTCATTATTTGTAATCATCATTAATTTCATTAAATAAAGGCTTGAAACTTCACTTTGTGTCATGAGTCTATACAATATATGGATTTGACTTTCTGAAATGAGTGACAAAAATATTGAACTTTTTCATGATTTTCTAATAATCAGAGATGGACTGTAGAAGCATATACATACTAGGGCCACAGACTAGTGGTTACGGTGAGACTTTAAAAATTCATGGCACACTATGTGGAATGCATCCATCTTAAATGTGCTGGTTCTCTGTCAAACCAAATTTTAGGTCTGTATCACAGTGCAATGAAATGTTATTATTGAGTGCATATACATGCACATCAGTATTGCATGATGTGATTGGGTTGATTGGGGTTTTTCAGTATCTCGGTTTCTTCATGGTGCATGTATACGCAGTACCCCGGTTTCAGTATTCCAGTTATGGCAGTATCCCAATTATTAGAAACCGGGTTACTGTAGCTGGTTTATTCCGATAGTAACCGGGATACTGTGGCATGTAAACACAGTATCCTGGTTACTGCAACATAAAGTTGAGTGCGCATGCGTCCAAAAGACAAACACTTTCCAGTCTTTTCACTGCACTACATGAGTGAAATGACTGTAGAATAAAAAGCTGCGCTAAACCTGTACACGCACAATCTGCACTCGTAAGACCTGCACACGTATGATCGCTGTAAAGCTAAAACATGAACTATCTCCAACACGATATACGCACAGAACACACTTACCATCATTAGCACCTCTTCTGTCACAGAAAGAACACACATATTCCACTGAGTCATGTCTTTTAGTCTGAATGAAGCTGAACTGCATCAGTGGCCCAAGGAACGAACTGTTTTTATCACAGCTAACAGTTTATGCTAATTAGCCATGTGGTCTTAAGTTTCGTTTCTGTAAAACAAATGTGATCAAAGCTGAATTATATTTTCAAATGGGCTGATGTGACTCTACAGTGGTTATGGTTTATATGTTGTAAAGTTGAGTTTATTTATGCAGAAGATTTTAATGAAGAATCTGTTGGGTTTGATCTGTGCAGTGGACTGCTGGTTAAACCTCCCGAGCTTCCTATGCTAAAGGAGCTCATGGTTTGTATTTTTCTTGGTTTATTAAATTGATTTAAGTACATTTTTGCGCTTGCGCATTTGTAAGATTATGTCAAGAAACCGGGATACTCCATTTGATCATGTATGCACGGATATGAATATCCCGGTTTCTCACATCGCATATACGCAGTAACCCGAATACTGACATAACTGGGATATGGCTAATAACCGGGTTACTGATGTGCATGTATAAGCACTCACTGAGGTTACAGTGATAAGAGAGTTTTACTGCAAGTTCAAGAATTTCTGTCTACCAACCAAAATTACTCTATGGACTGAATCTGGCCCACAGGCCATATAATAGTTTGAACACGTCTGATTTAATAGTTTTGTAATGTTAACTTATAAGTAAATACATTTTACCCCATTCCCTGAACAGATCAAACTTCTTAGCATGGCATAGCAACCACTCTGGACTAAGAAAGGAGTGATAAATATTGTAGCAACCTACAAACTGTCGCAATGCTTTATGGGATTGTTTTTATTTGGGGCTAGTTATTGACAGGCAGTCATTTTCAGGGGGGAGCGTTCAGACCGTGAGTTAGGCAGGAGTGTTTGAAACTTAACCCTGCACTGTTGCTATTTTGCTGGTTCTATTAAAGCTGAAATACAAGCCAACCTGTTCTCACAGTTTTCATTTCGTAACCGCCGTTACAATATATTTCAAGCTGGAGAGACTCAGAGACATAAAGTATTAGCAACCTTTTGAATGAGTTCTATTTGGTGCTCAGACCCTGACAGAAGACATTATGATGACGGGCGTGGCCGATTAGATGACGTTTAGGAGATGTTGTCCCTGCAGGGCCTGGACAATAGAGGTGGTAGAGGTGGGGCTGAGGAGAGTGAAGGGGACAATGAGAGAAGCTGAGGGGGTGATTTGCAGCACAAAACAAAGTGGCCATGCATTTGCAAAGGGCAATTAATTGATAAGTTGAAGTTAAATGTTGATTTGACAGGAGGCGTAGTGAGCATCAGGGAGTAGTAATTTGAGTGAGGTGATGAAAGCTGACGAGCAGGTAAGGATGGAGAAGCAGGGAGGTAGATTGGAGTGAAGTTAGGTCTTCCAGGCTGAAATTACACTAGCTCCATTTTACTCAAGACTATGCCATAAATTGAATTGGACCAATTATTTTTGTTCACTGTGGCTGGCAATAAAACTATTCTTATTCTAGAGTAGGTACATCAACAAGAACTCAACAACTGATATGTGTTAATGCACTCCATAATTGTACATTAAGATCTTTGATGTTATAAATGAACTTATCCAAATGTCTTGTGTAAATGGGCTGCTCTCACGGGGTCTAAATGTATTTGTGTATTGCAGCCCTTTATCACAGCAGAGGAGCTGAGGAGGGAGCTGCCCGCAGACCAGGCTGAATACTGCATAGCCCGCATGGCTCCATACACCGGACCCGACGCCATCCCTGAAGCTCTGGACTACATGTCATTCTCCACAGCGCTGTACGGGGAGAGCGACCTGTAACGCACCCTGGGAGACAACATAAGGGGGCCACTTCTCCAACATTTTTCTGACTGGACCTTTTTGATTGAACTATATTACGGTTTGGCCTCTGGTCAGTGTTGCAGTTTTTTAAAAGTTAGGGGAAATTGGAGAGGTCTGTGTGAGTGAGGAGGTCTTTCCTTCATCCTTCCTGTCCTATTCAAAGAATGGGTTTGGGACAGATTAGGGTCCAAGTTTATCTAATTCTTACAACTGTTATTTTACTTTTATCTTAACTTTTCCTTATTGCCAGGAGATTGAGCATGAAGTTGTGTGACTCAGATGTGTCATGCACAATTACTCCCTTGATGCTGGACATGCCAGGACCTTCTTTTCTGTTTGTTGATTTCCAGGTTGGTGGGGGGTCGAGCAGAAAGGGGTCCCAGGCAGAGCTCATTGCTGTACATAGTTATTCTTTAAGTGCAACAAATGACACACAGCCCTTTTTTGGGAAATACTGATTGCGGCTATCTTGTAAGTGAAATAAGAGTAATATTTCTTTAAAATGAAATGAGTAGGCAGTGCACATCCGTAAACCATCACATGCAACTCCTTACTTGGAAACCTCGGCTCTGTATTATTATGATTATTAATTTTTTTCTTTACACAGTGGTTCCAGTTAAACAAAAGCATGTACTGTTCCAGAATGCATAGAGCAGTGTGCGTGGGTACTGGATGACTGGAGAAAACAGGAGCAAAAAAGTTTTGCCTCAGCTCTGAATCCTGCTCTGCCTCTGCCCCTCACTGCCGCCTCTTTCACAGTTTGAGGGGCTAAAGAAGGCTGACATTCCAATATGAGCAAATAAAATGGGAAAAAACTGATAATGTAGAGAATAATCTATGCAATTGTATAATTGTTATGCTAGGCTATTTCTGGAAAAGTGTTGTCTAAATTATGCTGAATTAAGTGCAGACTGATTAGGGGCAGAAACAGACAGGAGCACACAAAGGAGTGACCAAAAGTGTTAGTCTGATGTAAGGCTGTTGGGTTGTTTTTTTTTTTTTTTGCTTTGTTTGTTTTTTTGTACTTTCATATCAGACTGTCAGCTGTACTGTAAACTGCAATGCCTCCTGTCTGGTGAAAATAGTTTCACAAACACATAAAAGACTTAAAAATGTTCCGTGTGAGTCTTCACTTGAAATTGTGGCTGAGTATTTTCACACAGTCTGGCTGTAGATCTCTATCTAGAGGACTCTTCCTTGAAGGCTGTACCAGCTGGGCCCTCACTTTGCTGCTTTCGCGTCATGTGCTATGTAGATGATGGTCCTGTCCACTTGTAAAATGGTCATTACTTGATTTTTGTTAGCTACAGTAACCTACAGATTACACAGGGAAAAGGGCAAACAACAGAATTTTATTGCACTATGGTAAGTGGAAATAATTACATTAACAGTGCATCTATTTGTGTGACTTCGCAAACTTGGTCCTTAAGTTATACATGCAGGTTCACAGGACATAAGTCAAGGGGTGTTCCCAATTACCAGGATCCTGGTACTTCAGATTGTTTCTTTTTATAAATTGGCACCCCATCACCCTACCTAATAACGATTACAAAATCTTAGCTATTTGCCTGGCAACGAACTTAAACAAAATACAAAATGCTGTAATTGAAATTTCCAAAAGCCATTTGGACTCCAAAACCACTTTGTTTAAAGCTGTTTAAAGTCTACTGGCACCCTGTACACGTCTGCGAACAGCTCTATAAAACTGTCCCACGGAACAACTCATAGATTCAGTATACGTCAGGGCTGCCCAATTTCTGACTTCTCCGCTTTTGGTACCGATGCAAATTTTAGTCAGTTAGATTAAGAATAGTGATTTAAGGGAATATCCATTGCAGGAAGAGAAATATGTTTAAGTCAACTTGCTAATGACATAACTCTCTTTTTCAATGATTGTTCTCAGATAAACTGTTATTAACCTCCATGCATCCATTTTCGTCCGCTTATCCGGGGCTGGGTCGCGGGGGCAGCAGCCGAAGCAGGAACTCCCAGACTTCCTTCACCCCAGACACGTCCTCCAGCTCCTCTGGGGGGGGACCCCGAGGCGTTCCCAGGCCAGCCAAGAGACATAGTCCCTCCAGCGTGTCCTGGGACATGCCCGGAACACCTCCCGAGGGAGGCGCCCAGGAGGCATCCGGAACAAATGCCCGAGCCACCTCAACTGGCTCCTCGATGTGGAGGAGCAGCGGCTCTACTCCGAGCTCCTCCCGTGTGACTGAGCTCCTCACCCTATCTCTAAGGGAGCGCCCAGCCACCCTGCGAAGGAAACTCATTTCGAGCGCTTGTATCCGCGATCTCGTCCTTTCGGTCACTACCCAGAGCTCATGACCATAGGTGAGAGTAGGAACGAAGACTGACCGGTAAATCGAGAGCTTCGCCTTTCGGCTCAGCTCCCGCTTCACCACAACGGTCCGATACAGCGGTGCCGAAGCTGCACCGATCCGCCTGTCAATCTCACGTTCCGTCCTTCCCTCACTTGTGAAAAAGACCCCGAGATACTTGAACTCCTCCACTTGAGGCAAAGACTCCCCATTCACCCAGAGAGGGCAAGCCACCTTTTTCCGGTCGAGAACCATGGCCTCAGACTTAAAAGAGCTGATCCTCATCCCAGCCGCTTCACACTTGGCTGCAAACCGCCCCAGTGCACATTGCAGGTCCTGGTTCGATGAAGCCAACAGAACAACATCGTCTGCAAACAGCAGAGATGAAATCCTGTGGTCCCCAAACCGGACCCCCTCCGGCCCTTGACTGCGCCTAGAAATTCTGTCCATAAATACAATGAACAGAACTGGAGACAAAGGGCAGCCCTGGCGGAGTCCAACATGCACCGGGAACAGGTCTGACTTACTGCCGGCAATGCGAACACAGCTCCTGCTCCGGTCATACAGGGACCAGACAGCCCTTAGCAAAGGGCCCCAGACCCCATACTCCCAGAGCACCCCCCACAGGACACCACGAGGGACACGGTCAAATGCCTTCTCCAAGTCCACAAAGCACATGTGGACTGCTTGGGCAAATTCTCCCTTGCGCGTGTGCTGTCCTCTTCATCACTCAGCAGTCCAGCCTTTCCAAACCTGTTGATTATCGTGTTTTTTTTCACATGGCTCCACGCTGTCACAATGCATGGTATAATGTCTGTACCGGTTCACCCAATAGGCACAGTACACACATTGCGTAGGGCCCCGCAAACCTATAAAGGCCCATTACCTTGGCGTTACCCCTTCTGGCATACGCTGCGTGGATCCATAGACCATATGCGACCCCTGTGCACCGCATCTCCTTCCCCTCCCGTAAGCAGTGTCTCCTCCCATAAGCCTCGTTTTCTCGCGTACACCGCGTGTTCTCCTGTATGCTGCATGGACCATGCCTCTTCCCATGCGTCTCTAAACCAGAACTGAAACCAGGACCAAACCAGAACTAAAAATAGTTCTAAACCAGGACTAAAACAGGATTTTAGATCGGGACTAAACCATGAGGCACACTGATTGATGATTCCGCATCATTTTGAGTTAAAAACAAAAAACAAAAACATAAAATAATATAGCTGCAAGCAGCAATGCAGAGGCTTTGCAGCGTAGCTGCAGAATAGGCAAGAGCAGGAATAGTAACACACGCACAATGAAATAAAATTTTTAATCCAAACACCTTTTTGCTAATTATAGTGCCCCCTAGAGGTCAAAGGTCACAAAATTTGTTGAGGGTCTAGAGCAGGGGTCTCAAACTCAAATGACCTGGGGGCCACATTAGATAAAGTCTGAGTGAGGCTGGGCCGCATTGAGTATTCGATAAATAGCGGTTGCACGGGAAAATAGGAGAGAGAAAGAACAACATGCAACACACTTTTTTAATCTTTAATAACAGTTCAGAACATGAAAATGTATTCAGAACGTAAGTTTAAACTAATACGTCTACTCTTCTTCTTTTGCCTACTCCTTGCTGGTTAAAACCTGGCTACGATTCATCTTGTACAGCTGAGAGATATTTGGCTTGCAGGAGGAAGCACATGAGATCCTCAGGATAGAATGAAGATGCTCATCAGTGAGCCTTGACCTGTATTAGGTGCTTTCACACCCACAGTATTTGGTGCGCACCAAACGGTCCATTCGAACCAGAAGTGGTTAGTTCGGTTCGTTTGCGTTGGTGTGAAAGCGTCAATCGGACTCTGACCCGGACCAAATCAAGCGGACCGAGACCTTAAAAAAGAGGTGGTCTCGGTTCGCTTGAATCCGCACCAAATGGACCAACTTTGTGCGGTTCTTCTGGTTGAACGCGAAACCGGGTCCAAACCACAGACAGCAGGTCCAAACGAACTATTCTAGATGCATCATGGGAGAAACGCGTCTCCTGCCTGTAATGACGCGCTGTACGACTCCAGCGCAGTAACAGATTGTTGTCCAGACGCAGCCGCGATTCATTTTCGAAATATTTTACCAACAATGGCCATTACTGAGAACGTAATACACGAAGATCAGAGCAAGAACGTGTGAACATGTGGCTCCAGAGTGAGTCAAAAATTGGGGAGTGTACTTCTGTTCAGGACCTGCACAGAGACGACCCGGTGTTCCCCGTGATCATGTAGGAACCAGCATTATTTTAGGCTTTAATTAACCAAATAATTTTATGGCAATAGGCAATCGCCCATTCAATTGATTCACTTTTAATTAAAAAATGTCCTGCTTTTAGCCTAGTGTGAGAAATACAGTCGGACTAGATCCAAACCAGAGTCCCGAACCAGCAGGAGCAGCTCCGGTTCTGTCCGGGCTCAGATGACGTGGAGCGGGGAGTGAAAAGCGCTTTTCCCGGGAAGAACCAAATGCGGACACCAACTAAACTGGATTCACGTTCTGTCCGGATGCTTTGCACCACCTCGGAACCAGCCGCGGTTCTTGAGCGCGGAGGACAGGAGCAGCACAGACCTGTAGGTAGGTACACAGCGCATTCTCACTTTCCCCGCACGGAACACGGAACCAGCGCGCAGACGGCGGAACGTACCCGCTCAGACCCAGTCATTGCGCACTGGTCTTGCTCGCCACCGTCTGGAACCAGCACATGGAGGACAGAGCCTCCGGACCATCTGACCAACGCGCTTGTAGGACGACAGAAGACCAAGGACCAGACTCCAGCGCCGTCCTGAGGAGCTGCGCGCTACGCTTTTTATGAGTTAATGGTGATAAGATGAGGACGGCCCGCGGTATTAACAGGGAACATCAGTATTGGTTACTGGAGGTATCGCTGTTCTACCGGGATACAGAGGCTCGTTAATCGGACCAGTTTTGGTTCGTTTGCCGGTGTGAAAGCGCCACACTGGAGTGTATCTGCTTCTCATATGTCAAACATGGATGGAAGACGCTTATTTTTGCCTCGTACTTTTGCTAACATGTCGCCAAGCCTCTGGAATAGATCAGTGCAGTTTTGTGGTGCTTGCATATTGATGGGACAGCTGTGTTTGCCGCTGAGTGCACGTGGATTTCGGCGACGCACAGGTGGAGCTTGGTCATCGTGTTGCCAGCAAGTTACGCACCGAGTGTTGAACAGGTAAACAGACTGTCAATGTCTTTTTAGTTCTTATTAGCCCCTCCAATAATGGTCCCATACTTATGAACAGGGGGATTCTGTCAGCGCCTCCTCTGCGCTCTGATGCTGTGGTTGTGGGAGCGTAAAGTGAAGTGCGCACACGTGTACCACCATGTGTGGTTTGTTTTGGTTCTTCGGTGACGCCTATGTGCGCGTGTACTTGTATTAACAGATCCACTTAGACTCGTTGCTTCACAACTGCTGTAAATTGAGTTTTGGGATGTAAACTGCGTTAAAATAATCTGTTGTGAATCTGCATGGGCACCGAATGCAGCTTCATCTGTCAGTGCGGCCCGCGGTAGGGGGGTGGGATTGTGCGTACATCTACCGCGGGCCGCACTGACATTATTCTTTGGAATCAAGTGGAGGGCCGCAAAAAATCCTTCCGCGGGCCGCAGTTGGCCCCCGGGCCGCGAGTCTGAGACCCCTGGTCTAGAGTGAGGGGCGATGAGTCCAGGTCTCAAGTTTGCTGTCAATACGTCAAAGCATCTCTGCACAGTGAGCTCACTTCCTGTTTGGGAGCTTTGCTGTCAAGTTTATT